CATAGGTCGCCTACTCTATGCAATCAGCACAAACAGCTTGATGGATGGGAAACTGCTCGGCAAGGCCAACTCGAGGATCCGCCCCAACATCTAAAAGAGCATTAAGGCAGCCGAGCGGAGAGGTAAGAAACGGACTGACTGAGGCTGCAGCAGCTGCGATGAGTGCTTCTAATCCAGGGTCCTTATCGTCTTGCCCCAGATTTACATTTACTTCGGCATATGTCATATTTTCCTTTGCAGTCGATGCCGTAGCCAGCGCCTCAGTGCTATGGAGCTGTGAGACGGATTTAAGTGTAGAGTCATCGGGAGTGTTGGAGACATCGATGCATGAGCCATCTTAGACGAAGATTGGAGAGGGAATAGAGAATGAATAAAGAAAAGATAAAGATACAGAAGCCTTATACGAAGTTATTAGAAGTGACTAGATGACTAACTGCCATTTCTCTGGAGGAATGACGGTTCTTATCTAATAATAAGAGAAAATAAGAGATATAAAGACAAAAAATTAACTACTTAATGGTTCGTATAACCGAGCTTTCTCTAGTAGGACCAATGAAAAAGGCACTAGGCACAAACATATAAACTAATGCTAATTACGAAGTTAGGGGAAGAAAATCATCCAAAATAGAAAAAAATTTGGTCCGAAAAAAGCTGCAAGGATAACAATCCTTTTGTAATTCGATAAGTTAGATGCCTAATTCAAGATCTTATGCATAATATTATTGTAGTCGTCTATCCATCTTAGCTTTATGATTTATTTGAGTTTATTGCGCTGTTTCGATTATGTTGGTCCCCGTAAGAAATTTAAAAAATAAAGAATCTAAACAGCTTGGAGTCTAAAAAAGTTAAATCAAGTCAGAGCTTGTAAAAGTTAACGACATATACTGATGACTGAAATTATACAGCAGCTCCGAACGATCTTCTCAAGGCGTCAGAAATCAGCAAAATTTCACTGACATAGAAAAATACCAAAATCGTTTAATGAATCCAGATCAAGACAAA